TGTGGCCCAGATTTGTGCAGCCCTAAGCAGCTGTGGAGAACCTCTGGATCTGTGGGAGCTGTGTCCGATCACGCCGTTGTTGCTCCGCTGCCCAGCAGCACTGTCTTACCAGCCAGGCACTCAGTGTGGCTCATGTGGCACAGGAGTGTCCCTGGGGCTCAGCCACCCACCTGCTCTGGACTGGGAGCCTGGGAACCTCCAGCACAGCTGGGGAACCTGCAGCACAGCTCCAAGCCTCTGCCTTGCTTGGTGAGCATGAACCCTGCCAGGCCAGGCAGGACCGCTGGCTCATTTGGCACCAAGGATCCCAAAACCAGGGAGGGAGCAGGGCTGCCCTGGACCCTGGGCTGCCTGCTGAGGAGCAGTGTCTGGGACAGCCTCAGGTGGGAGCAGTGCTGGAGCTGCTTCTGCAGCCAGCTGGGGCAAGGCTGGTGACGGTCTGCAAAGGAGTGCAAGGAAAGAGAAAGGTGAAAAGAAAGACTGGGCTGACACACCTTTGGAAGCAATGAAGGAGAAAAGCAGGCAGCTGTGGGGTAAAAAGTTCAGCATTTAGCCCTGGAGGTGCAGACAGAGCTGCCATGAAGCCCATGCGGTCAAGAGGAAGTGACAGCAAAGGGCAGGTGACAGCAAAGGGCATCAGCCTTACCTTTGCATTCCCCGAAAGAGTTCCTCTGTAACAACGTGACACTCACAGAACCTGTTAATGCCAGGCAAAACTGTGCCTCTACTTAGAGCTTCCTGGTAACTTTTCTTAGCCTACTGTTCAAGGTCTCATGAGGCTTTTTTTGTTTCTGACAGAGAGAAATCTGACTTTCACAAATGCAAATTCCTGAGCTGACTTATGCAGTCACATCTATTACATATGTGGTAACAGGCTTAAAATCATGGGGTTCTTCTGGTTTTATTTTAAGATTCAAGAAACATCTTTGTCTTTTAGGTTTTGCAGACATTAATCATGTCAAGAATGCCACTGATTGTTGACTGTATATATGTCTAAATTAAAATTATTAGATTCTTGTATATTACCATGTCACCGTGAACTGCTGAGGGAGTTTTAATCCAGCATCGTGGGAACTGTTAATGCTAATAGTTGTGATTGAAGTCTGAATAAAGAAACTCTACCACTATGCACAGCAAGCAATGCACCAGATGGGCATGGAGGTGTTTTCCATCCCTGAAGTAGCTGCAGTTTAAATGCCTTCCTTAGCAGCTCGTTTGCCTGCAGCTGTGTCAGGCACAAGCAGAGGTATCCCTGTGCTGTACTGAGACTTAACTCCCATCTCATCTGGGTTTGGCTCCATCAAGTCAAACAAAGATCTGAGCATATACTGATATTAGCAAAGGTAGATTATTACTGATAGTAATAATTTAACAGTGATGTTAAATAATCACTGTTTACTTTTGCGTCCTTTCTTAGGCTCGGGAATATTCAATCCCTACAAACATCTGATAAATCTTTTGAAGTAAATGTAACCTAATGAATCCTTATATAAACTTTTCTTCAGGCTTCTTGGTCTTAAATCATGCCTGACTCTGTACTGGACAAGCAGCCAGGATTACTTGATTCTTTCAAAGCATTTTAAATATAGGTCCGTGCACAGTTTTGTGACACTTCAATGTAGTGAGTATTTTGCTGAAGAAACACTGATGAGCTTTCTGCTCCACAGAAATGTTTTACAAGAGTACATTGACCTGATTTTCAGATATAGAAAATGCAAGTCTCTGGTATGCCTTCAATAAATATGTCCGCAATGCAAGTTGCAATGAAAACATGAACAGGTGCTATATGGATGCAAACATACAAGCATCTGCAAAGCAAATATTTCCTTTATAAAATACAATTTACTAGATTAGTTAGAGGTTTATTTATCTCTTTTGAAAAATAAATCAAATTTCTATCAAAAGAGTGAGAAAATGTCAAGACATTTCTCAAAGTTATATCAAAGGAATCATGAGCAGTGGACACATGTTCCAATTAAAACACTCCAGAGATTGCTTGTCATCCTCTTCTGTTTTACAGCAGCATATAAAGTTGGGGTACTTCTTTAAACATTCTTCTAAGAAGAAAAATATTTCCTCCTGAGAAGCATGCAACATGGAGCTAATAATATTTTTCAGCAGCTATGCTTAAACATTTAAGGAAAGGAAAAAGAACCCAAAGAGTTCAAATTGGGTAGAATAATTTCTTACCTGCTTTAAACCTGAGGGGCTGCCAAATACACAGCAACCAAAGGGTCACAGTCACTACAGAGCAGTGACTCCAGCCAAAATTCTGTCCCAGTGGGGTGAAGACATGTTTTAGTGCAGGCTGTCTGCAATGCTATAAAATGGTTATTATACAGTGATACTCTTGTTATAAACCATTAACTACTTGTCTACTGATAAAACTTTAACCTTTTCTGTTCTAAAAAAAAAAGAGTTTTGGCATATGTGTGTTTATTACCTCTTGGGAACTGACTGGTCCTCATTATAGATCTGCACGTACCCTGGGGAAAGTGGTGCTGGCTGGCACAGGGTGAAAGTCAACACAGTCAAAGTGAAGAAGAAAATAGAGTTATTTTAAGAATGAGTTGGAATAAACACGTCTTTTTTGTCATCAGCATTCAGTAGATTAATTCCCACTGAGTAAGTAGGGACAGTACCTTGCTTTAACATGTTGTGTTTTGCTAATGAGGAAAGGAGATTTGTTTGGCTTTTTTAATTACCAAAGCAATTCCATCTCACTTTATAAAACAGGGCTCAACAAGCTAATGTGATGTGCAGAGAATGTACAGAAATGCAGTCAAAAAAAAAGGGTTCTGGACTCTTGGGATGTTGCACAATTGTCTAGCCATTAGACACTACTGATACTGCTACTAATCCAGACTACAATTCCTTTAACACCTTACAGATTGTTATGATGCCTTTTCCTCTTATGAAGAATAAAAATGAGCAATATATGTATTTATTATTTTAATTCAATTGGTGGCAATCTGCAAGGTACTCATAATGATACTCATACTTATATTCAAAATATTCATACTCAAAATAAAAATTATCTCATGTCAGGTGACCTAGACATTTTGTGTTGCAGAAAACTCCTCAGGACATAGGAAAGACTATGGAAATGCTGGAATAATTAAGATTGCTTTTACAAATGGGAACACCAAAATTGTTAATGTGCTTATTCAGATAGCCAAATGTCTTAATAGTCTACTCACAGAGGTTTTAGTTAAACCCAGGCTGTGCCACCACCCCAGTGCCAGGCTGGTACAATCCTTTCGGAGGGACAGGGCTGCGTGCTGTCCCTCTGGGCTCAGCTCTGTCCACTCGGGGGGTGTCTGCCTGCCTGCGTGTGGCAGCCCTGTTTCTTGTCCTAGATCTTTCCTCTCTCCGTGTTATTCTCATTAGCATGGGAAACAGAAAAGGGAAAAGATCCTCAGTGGTGGATCAGCACAGGGGCCGTGGCACCCCGGTGACAGGTGACGGTCCAGGGTGGCACAGACATCACCCGGGGGCCACCGGAGCCCTTCACTCCCTGAGATGCCAAAGTGCAGATTCTCCCAGCGGGATTGCCAGGGAATGGGAGGCTTCATGGGAGAGGGCCGGGCACGGGGCTCTGTGGGGCAGGACAGCCGAGGCTGCGTGGCACAGCTCCAGTGGCCCCAGTGTTCATCCAAGGCCGGGGAGCCCCTGAGTCTTATATTATCCTCCTCGAGCCATGTCTGATAAGCTCTCGGAGGAATATAATACATCCAAGATACCTCAGCTACCTTTGGAGGCATAAAAATAAGCAGGATGGCTTCTGCTGCAGTGTTGGAAACAAAAAGGTTTAATAAAAGGCAAAATAACAAACAGAAAAAACCGAGCCAGGGGCAAGAGACCTTGCTCCTGGTAAAACACCTCACAAAAGCCATTCGTTTCTTTGTTCACATCCGTTTCTAGTAAATTGCCCAGGCGGGACTTTTTGGCTCCTATCCAATCAGCTACCCTTAAGTTTGGGGTGAAGTTTCCAAGGTCCTATGAAGTGGCTTTTTACCTAATCAATGAGAGAAACTCCTGGGCCTCTTTCCTTTTTAGGGGGACAAAGGATAGTTTTGTCACTCTGTCAACAGGGGGCACATTCCTACCCCTGGGCTTGGGAGGAATTGCGGGGGTGGCCGGGCAAGCCCTGGGAGCATGAAAGCTGCATGGCCCAGCTCTCCCAGTGCCGTCACACTGTGAACAGCAGCAATGCTCAGCTGGACAGAAACATCTCCTGCTCACAGAGAATGCTTTGCAGCCTTGAAATGTTAATTACTTTACAGCCTCCTGCCATAAGCAGTTAAATGTTTGTTTTTCTGCTGTTTAAAGGGATAGGAATGTAAAATTGGATCTAAGAGACACACAGGAAGATGCTTATCCCTGAGCAGGAATCTTACAGACAAAACAGAACCAAGTGCAACTTGATTCTTGAAAATGGGAAAAAGAACAGTTCAGTGACATTAAGCTCCATCCAGCTTTGCCAAACTCAGTCTGAGGTTTTTGGTGTATTGAAAGCAGACCCAGCTACTGAATCACAGGTCTGAGTCCTTTGCTAATAGAAATGCTGCTAGATGATTGCAGGTATTTTTAAATGACAAAATAGGAAAGAAATTAATTCTCATGCTTACTTACATTGCCCTTCCTATTCAATGGAAAGAGCATCCTTGCTTCTTCCCTTTACATGGCTAACATCATCATGGATATCTTTGACTAGAATGTTGAGTTTAGATATATGGAATACTAAGAGTCCAAAACTTTGGGTTACAAGCCCAGCTTTGCAAATGGGAGACAGTTTGCCCACTGGGAAATTGCAGTAGGATTGTGAGCAAAACTGTGAATTTCTAACTTCATATGAACACTTTATATAAAATACAGAGAAAAAAAATACTTAACGCACCAGATGGCAAAACCAACACAAATGAATGAACACCTCTTAAAAGATAGTATACTTTTATTTATGAAAATATTAAACCATGTTTATATGATAGAATAACAAACTGAAAGGGAACCTTAACACTTGCAAATTCGTATGTGTGATGCAGCTGCAGGGAGATAAAATCGCTCTTGAGTGACAGGATATGTTTCTTCTGCTTTCCTTCATTTCTTTTAAGCCTTAATTAGAGCCAGATGTTTCTTATTTCCTTTCTTTTTTGTTTTCAAGTGTGCACAAAGCATGGTGCCAGCAGTAAACACCATCTTTGACTTTTTTTAATGTGTCAACTGCATCTGAGTCAGTCACAAACCAGTAAAATTCCAGCAAAGCAGTGCAAGCTTTCCCTCCTACTGTCACTCCTACTGGAAGATTGGCACTGCTGTTTCCTGTGGCACAGGAGCCATAAAAATCCCACCATGTGTCTGAGAACCTTACCCCTGGTAAATTACACCGGAGGCAGGAGGCTGGAATGCTGTGTACCATGAACACAGCTGCCCCTCCCATGCTCTTCAGAGTGCTGGGAGTGATTTCTTGTTGCTTAATTGCTGTTCAGCTGTATGGATCTGCAGCCTGTTTTCCATTTCTTCCTTCTCCTCAGGGAGGCAGTGGCTCCTAACCACAGCATACAGGCAAAACCATTTCTGCTCCAATTTCAGGCCTTTATTGCACCCTTGCATTGACCTCTGAACTGCCATCTCTAGCAGACTGTTTTGTCAGTAAATGGCAGAAGTCTATAGGTGAGAGCTTCCTTTCTAAGCTAAATTACTTAGTATTGCTGTAGTATTTATAATTATGGTTTTCATCTACTTCTCTAAATGTATTTTCATTCTAAGAAACGTATCAAATATAGAGATCCATGAACTGCAACAGTTACCTAGCAAAGAGGTAGAAATTAGTGTTCAAAAAAAGTCATCTGAGGACAAGTTATTCCTTATTTGACAACTATTTTGAGCAAGCATATATTGTACCTAGAATAGATTTTAAGGACAAATTTTCTGGCAGTTTTCTAGTTGTTTTTCTCCCGTTTAACAGTTACTTAGTTCTTGGGAGTCAGGCTCCCTTCCACTACTGCACACACTGGAGATCGTTTTGGATAAAAAGCTGTTCTGTTTTCTTCCACCAACTTTTGTACCAGCAACTCCTACCGCAACTGCTGTTTGGAGGAACTGAAACATTTTGGGGAAGAGTACCTGATTAAGGTACTTGATCCACTGAAGTGTTTTAGTGCCTAAGTTTTAAGGATGAGTGAACCTGGAGGATACAAATTCCTTGCTGTCATATTTGCTCTTCATTCATGCTATGTTTAGTTACAAAGGAAAAAAATAATTTAAATAATACCTTTAAGTAATTTAAATAGAACACACATCACAGTTTCTGATGACAAGGTAGTACTGACCTTTCTTGAATTAAAGTGCACCTTGTTCAAATGTCTGGATGTGTTATGAGAGTAACCTGTTTATCCCACCCCATCCTGTCCCATAAATGGTTATATTTTTTTCCCTGAAAACATGACAGATGTCTTACATTAATACATCAATTTTATTTAAATAAAATTACAGGTGTATTTTGTCTAGTAAAAACTAACATATAGTTTTTCAAAGGCACCAATATTTAAAAACAATTTAAATTTTCTTGAGAGCAGCTTCCCTTTTCTGAGTGGTGTTTGTAAACATGTTGGACTTCCCTCCCCTCATTCAACTCAGGCAATACCTGCTGCTTATGAAATTATGAAGGCCGTACCTTTTTCGTTGTCATAGATGCCCTACTGTTCCTAGGCTTCTCTTTAGAACACGGGAGAATGGGTCAGGCATTCCATGTAGCAAAATCTCACTCTGAAATAGGGTGTTCCTTTCTTTGTGGCACACACACTTGTCAGACACAAACCCCTGCTATGACACTCACTTTCCATGTGCTGTAAGTATTAAAAATTAAATTCCAAAAACTACTTTCTTTGAGACTTCAGGATCTGTTTTTCCTTGCATTTCTCCAAGCTTGATAATGCAATGCCACATTTTCTAATGTGAGGAGAGAGCTTTTTGCAGAAAGCCTGCCCTACAGTTCTGTGTCAGACTGCATCAGCCTCCAGTTTGGGCTTCTTTAGAGGTGTCTTTGCCAAGCGTGCTTGCACTGAAACCAGCAGACGTGTTGGGCTTATTCATCCAGTTCTGTGGTCATTTACAGGAGATTCACAGCAGGGACGCAGAGGGAGGTGCAGGTGATTCCTCTCAGCAGGCCAAATCCTGCTCAGTTTTTCCCCAAAAAGACCCAGCTCTACAGCCACTGCTGGATAAGGACAGAGCCAGAGTCCCCACCTCCTCCCCACTGGAGGAACAGTATCAGGCAGCCACTCATTGACAGTACTGTCCAATGAGCTCAAGTACTGTCACTTTTTGCTTCTGTAAGAGCAGGGAATTGTTTTCAAAAGGAGATTTTGCTAAGCACCTTCCCTGTGCACAGCTCGCCCGTGAGGTTCACTTCATCAATTTATTTTATTATTGTGACAGAATTTTGTAATAATCCCCAAGTTCTCTTTGATGCACAACCATCATCTTCTCTGCCCAGACTACAGAAGCTTTGTAGCTCAACCATTCTAACAGGAAAAAGGATATGCCCTTTAAAAAACAATCCCCACAATTTAGAGACAACAGTGATGTGGTGCAATGAAGGTAAGATCCTAACAGGGACACATTTGGCAAATGTATCCCTGCTGCAATTAACAGGCAAGCTCCTCAGGGAAGCCCTGGATCTTCTTTCTACAGAAAATCTGATTTTAATGGAACCACAGTAATCAAACTCCAGTCTTAGATTTGCAGAGTGGAGTAAATAAAATTATTTCAGAGTTTGTAGTAAGACCACTTTAAAGCTGAGACACAGAGCTACAAATATACCATACCAATACCTATCTTACAAGAATGTTCTGGGCTTTACTAAGGTTTGTGACAGGCTTTACTGAAGTTTGCCAAAATCTCCAAGAGCCTTCAGAGAAAGGCATTGGAAAAAGGCCAACAATTGCTAAGAAAAGCAGTGATCTTTGGCTAGCAATGTGCCATTTCCTCCTTGATGTTTGTAAATGTAGAAATGTCTGCGAGCCAACTACTCTTGCTTTGCAAAGAAGATTCATCTGGAGAATCTGGCACCTGGTTACAGGTGTTACTTCACAATACTTGGCAAACACCTAAAATTATTTTAAAAATTAACAACTGAAGTCTTCTAACAAGACACACAAAAGCTCAGGAAGTTTATTGTGCTTTTCATCCTGCTTGGGTTATCTCTTTGCTTCAGAGATACAGCACCTTAATATTTACATAGTACTAAAATTATTTATCAAGAAAAGCAGTGAAGAAATTTGCATTGCTCCTGCCTGTGAGAAGCAAAGTAGTTTCTGATGATCTCCTTCAGAATAAAGAACACCACTGATTTTAGAAAGGCACTGACAAAACTGACAGACTAAAATACAGCATTAGCAGCATGTGCAGCTTGGAAAGGTGCTCCTTGAAAACAGGAGATAAAAGGTAGATCTTAAAAGTGAAGTAAATATTTATGTTGGACTGAAGGTAAAGTAGTTTGAGAAAAAGCCTGTAAGGATTTTTTGGGTCTTGGGATCCCTTTGTGGTACAAACTATTTTATTAGCTAGCTTTTTTAAGCAATCATTTTGCTGCCATTAGCCATGAACACTATGCTTTTCACTAGATCAGTTTGCATGGAGAAAATAATTGCAATTAAAAGTGGTGTTATTTTTTAATTCCCTCACTGGTGTTGGTAGCTGGGTATGGAGCTACTAAGAAGGCAACATCTGCCCTCCCTCAGCTCACTGTGCAGCACTGTGCAGGCTGCCTGGTGACTGAAGGGATGATACAGGGAAAGGATGTAAAACCATTTCATCCTGCCCACAGAGCAGAATTACCCACTCCTGACTCAGGTGGTGGGTCACATGTCTGCTCTGAATCCTGCAGAAATCCACCAAATTCCACCTAAGGAAAGGAAATAGCTTAGGGAAAGAAACTGGTTTTGCAGTTAGGTGCTGCCTGACTGGACACTCCTCAGCCTTTTTGGAAAATAAATTGTTCCAGGCACCAAGGGAAGGCAGGGTCACTTCCACTGCCTTGAAAAGTCAAAGAATAGCAAGGAGACAGGACTGTGTAGGCACAAGCACAAACAACCACACTGGGTTTTGATCACCATACACATCTTTGGTCCTCCTGCCAGGTGCGGTGGTGTCTCTGGGGGGGAACACTCCACACTCTTCAGTGAACCACTCAGTGGGTTCACAGTGAGAAGTTCTTCCTGTTTAACGTAAAGCCACAGGCAGAGACACAAAACTGTTACACAGAACAGCTGCAAGACTGTGGTTTCTTTATCTTGTTCTACTGTTATCCAGATCTGCACAGTTATTTATCCACAGGTACTTGCAAGGCAACCAACACACATATTTAGACACCCTGATTATGGAAACTTCATGTTCAGCAGCAGCTGAAAAACATTTCACTTAGCTTTTAATAAGGCAAACATACAGACTTCATTGTGCCACCTCATCCACATCAAGTCTGTCTAATACTAGTCTGATTTTCTGTGAAGCATATGATAAGCAATGTACTAGTGCAACCACCATGAATCAATATCAAGCTTACCTTTCACAAAAAAACCCCAAAAAACAACTGTGTAGATGTAGACATCATAGGGGATTGATATTTGCAAAGCAAGTCATAGTCAAAAAATGAATAAGATGGCAAAAAAATGTAGAAATGAGGTATCAATTAGCCTAATAGTTGGAGTGGGCAAACTGGTCAAGACATGCTAAATTTCTTCTTCTGACTCATGATCTCGTTCAGATGTTTTCAGTAAACCCATTTCCATGGACTGGGACTGCTTAACCTTCGAACGAACCGCCCTGGAAACAACAACCAAAAATATGTCAGTGGTAACTCAAAGGTTCATCTGACCATTTTTTATATGGTAAAATCCTGTTTAACTCTAGTATCTCATCAGCAAGTTAGGATGACTCATTCTGTGATTCTGTGGTTAGGAAGTGCTGCCTTTACTGATCCGTCCTGACTGTACAGCTTGCAAGAACTTGTTCCTATGGACATCTCCCAGAGCACTTCAAACAAACCTCAGTGAACCCTCCAGAAGGTTCAGTGTTGTGCAGGCACTATGCACACTTGGGAAGGGACCATAAAGCTGTGAGAAAGAGTCTGCCCAAACTACCCTCAGCGGGGAACTCTGCCAGTGTGCCATGATCAGCCTCCTCTGAGGCCTCGTCTGATGCTGCAGCAGCCACTGGTCCCAGGGCCAGAAGGGCCATGAGATTGCTGCCACTTTCTCAAAAGCTGCCCCTCCTTATACAGCAAACCAGTTACCCAGCCTTGAGTGCTGGTGCCTTTCAGACTGAGACACAAAAAAGAACTGGCACCACAGTGCAAATCAAGATTGGAAGAACTATGTATTTGACACGATTAAATAGGGCTATTAGGATGGCAGGGATAAAGCAAGGGGTGGGAAGCATGTTTAGGACACTGCAGGAAAAGGCTTGGTAAGGTCCTGTGGATAGAAGGTGATCACATTCTATGATCTGATGGCAGAGGCATTTTTACAGCCAAATTAACACTGCAGCTGGAATTTTGTCAGAATTAGCACTGGGCAGTGCTAATTAGGGAGTAAAAGGGCTAACTTTAGACATTAGGGAGTGAAAATGACTAGTGAGAAAAGAAATCAAGTTTGATCACAGGAAATTTCTATCAAGGAATTCTGTGTAGTGATCTTCACAATAAAGTCATTAAGCTGGCTCTCTAAGCCACTTAAAATTAGCAGAGATGAGCAGTTGGAGTCTGCAGGTAAGAAAGTCTCCTACTTCTGACTTTATATGCACTTACAAGTGTGGAAGACTATTGGTGCTCATTTTATGTGAGGAGAATTATGCTGTGCTATCAGAGCTGTATTTATGGGTGCATTTTTGTCCCCATTTTACTGAAGTAATGTCATGACTACTATCAGTGTAATTTCACTGATTACGAATAACCATTTTTATTTTACCTTGCAAGACAATTACTTACTTCATAGAAACCTTTTCATTTGTCAGTGACACTTTTCTAAAATAAACCCCCTACTAGACTAAATAGACAAGTCACCAAAGTTTCAGTGTTTCAAGTAACTTACCAGCTGACAATTGTGTAATTCACTGCAAGTATAAGAAAAGCAAAAGCATAATGCCAGCAATAGCACATGGTCAGGAACATCATGTTAGTGTGATCTGTCTGATTCCACTCTGGGCTTCCATTTGGAGGATAAAGCACAAAGCCAATCTGTAATAAAATAAAAGAGATTTAGTACATGTCATTTGATGAGCATCCTGTGCCATGTCGTGTTTTATGCTACCCATCACAAGGCAGACATTTAATTTTCTTATGGTGTTGCTTATTTCTATGTTTACTATTAAAAACAATTTTGTAGTAAATCTCAGGTGTGATGGAACACTTTAAACAGCTCTGTGCAGAAATGCCTTTGAAGATAAAGTGACAATCCCAGAGATGCCCTGCTCTTGCCCAGAAAATTAAGGAGCCTGCCCAACAGCCCAGCCCTGCAACAATCACAGTTTTGCACTGTAAGGAGAGGAGCTGGTGCTCAGCCCTGTGTGCTCTGAACTGAAATCACTTCATGGATCAGAAAACCTGCCTGGCCATTTGCACTGCCTCCCTTCTTCCCAGCAGGGTCTGGGAATGCATTACATGGCTGGGAAGATGAATAATCAATGAACAAATAAAGGGGAGCCACAATTCTATTTCTTCTGGGCCATCCAAGGAGAAGGTCAGAAATGCCATAAAAATGGAGCTTCCTCATGCAAGACTGTGAGTTCATGTGAAATACGTAGCTGATTTGTTTGTTCAGAGCTGGGAAAGATCAGATTCATATTTGTGCATAAAATGGGAAACCAGTTAATCCTGTGGCTATGCAGTGTTTGCATGACAAACCCCAACCCTGTGTACTGCTTAATACTATTCAAAGTCCTCACTCAGCAGTTTAGCTGGGAATTTAGAAACTGGGAAGAGGAGAGGAAGAAGCAGGGGAGTGAATTTTGCATTTCCATGCAGAGAATTCAATGAATGAGGGTGTTGATGATGCAGAAAGAAAGTCCCTTTACCATTTACAAATTTCCTGTGCTGCAGCCAGTGTGTGGTTTTCAATCACACAGATGGTTGAAGTCTGATGCGGGTGTGAAAAAAGCCACACTTAAATTTCTTCTATTTTTAGTACTTCAATTTTTACTTTGAAACAAAACCCACATTGTCTCTAGAGCTAAAGAAATAATCTGTTCTAAAATTAGACTAGGCAGAAAACAATGAATAAATGGTTGCATCTATTCCTCCTATGTAAAGCTTCTTAAATCACCCGCTGGAAGTTTGCAAACAAGAAAATTAAACAAGAAAATAAAACAGCGAGTGCTGCAGCATCACATTCTTGAGTTCACTTATAGAAAAATACAGTCAGTTCTGAGGTCTGTCTTCAAGCCAGAGAAAGCATTTAAATATTTGATTTGGTGCTGAGTGTCCAGTTCTCCTAAGAAACAGCAAACATTTTTATTCATCTTGTCTGGCCAGCACAGAAAAAAAAAGGGAAGCCAGTCTAGACATGCCGGAAGGAAAAATCATTGGAGTGACCTCAATTCCCCACTATAAGATGAAACACACATCAGCACCAGTGCTCCTATTTCTGTTATAAACTCCTAGCAGCTCCTTAAATATCTCTTGTTCTGACAGTAGAGAAAGAGTCACTGTCAAATATCTGTTATTGGATAGTCTCACAAGTAAATGAGGGCATGGAAGCTACATTTGAAATATCAAAGTTCTGGCTGTTCTTTTTTCTGCTCAGCTCCCAGAGCACTAGAAAAGCAGGAGGCTTTACATCATCCAGTCTCCTAATGAGAATCTGTACCTTAAGTACCTTTTGAACCTGGCAATGTCAATGAGGCCTTTGCCTCACCTGTCCAGTACTATACTGGGTGTCTACTCACTGCTCCAGCAGCTGACAGTAGAAACTCTCTTTGTAAAGAACAACATATATTTCCATGCTCTAAAATCACTGCCACTTGGCTGGCAAATGTGGAACAGAATGTTACAAGGATCAGAGAGCTCTGCAACATGGAGAACTCAAGAAAAACACTTTAGCTTCTTTATTGATTCAAATAAAAGGCACTTGAAGTGAAATGGCTGCTTCTTCTTCTGTAAAATCACTATAAGAAATACTTTTATCACTTAAAAGGAACATTTTTTTCTGTATCTCTTTAAAGGAACTTATTTTCTGTAAGTCTTTTGAGGTCTGTGTTTAAAAGGCATATAGATAACCTGTGACACATCTGCAAAGGGTTAAGTGACTAATTTTGGTGAGGAAGAAATTACAAAGGCAGAAAAGTGACCTACCTGCCAGAACCAGCTGCCCTGTAATATGCAGAGGCTTGTACGGAGCATCTCTAGCACAATACTGCCACGGAAAAAAACTTCCAAAAATATGCAGGCAGCAGCTCCAAAGATAGCAAATAGCAGTAACTGATGAACATGAACATCCAGCATGGCCCTCCCATGAAGATGGTAGCAGAAGAGAAAACCTGGAATAAATTGTGATCAGTTTAAGATAATTTCTTCCCTTGCAATTTCCCTGCATCTGCCTTTAGAAAACAGTGAAACATTTATGGCATTTCTCTTTATGCCAGTGTCACCTTCACTCACACTGGCTTTAGCTAACCAGTTGTGTGCCATGTCAGTACTACATCAAACACATGCCTGAGCTACTGAGCCCTTACCTAAAACAGGCTTTTGCTGCTATTTCCATAACATTTCTGTAGCTGTCTGAGCAGGTAGGAGAGCTAAGATACACCTTTGCAATGCAGGATCATGACTGGGCAGTGTAAGGAGGGCCAAGACTCATCTTTTTGTGATCTCTTTGAAGTCTTTCAGGGAGCGAAACAGGCAGCTCCCAGAGGTCACTCTGCAAGGCTGATTGGAGATTCCCAGGCCAATGATAAATGCCCATCCACAGGATTCATGCATATCCCTCCAGGGAGAAGGAAACTGACCTTCAATGAAGACTGCTAAGGAAAGCATCATCCTGTCCATGGCCGCTGGCAGTGCGTTGGTCCCGTGAGCCACGATGTCCACCAGCCCTGAAATGCCATAGAAGAGGTACATGGTGGCATGCTGCCAGTTCATCAGGTGATCCCAGTGCTTCTTCTCGTAGTTGTACAGCTTCAGATGAGGTCCATCAGGAACAAACTGCTCAGCCACCATCCCTGTGCACGAAACAAGAAGAAAAACCATTTGTTCTGGTACTTATGGTGTAAACTGATGGCAAGTCTTTACACAAACAGTAGAGGCAGCAATACATCCCCATGCAGCATCATGCCAGCAAGGTTGAGGTTTTAGCGTCACATAATCTGCAGAGTGGAGAGCCAGGGGAAATCAGGCTTCAGCTCCACTCCTGGTGGAACTATTTGCATCTTGCAGTTTCCGGCAATGAAAATGAAAAAAGCTTATTCTGTGCTGCTTTTTCTTCTTTTAAACAATTGCTATTGTAGCAGTCCTCTGACCAGATTTTTCAGCTGCCTTTTCCAGTGGTTCAAACATGAGCATAACACACACTAAAGTCTCCAAAAGAAAGATCTACCATTTCAGTGCCCTGCCACATGCGGGATGACAGAGTTCAGACTCATAATTCAAAGGGGATTTTTCCTCTAAAGCCATAAAAGGAAACCCCTCCACCGTGCAGAGTCATTAAAAGTCCCATGGGAATGTACACGGAGTTAGTATTTGAATCACTGCTCCACTCTCTCCCTTACCTTGGCCCCTCAGTGTTTTGCCAACTAGCTGAGGTACTCCAGCAAGGGAAAACTGCTTTTAAATGCTTTGTATGATCAATGAAGTTTGGGGAGGGTTTAAAAGTTGTTCTGCTTTAAAAACATAAAAGCTGATTACATTGTTTATAAAGCATAGGCCAGCATCTGCTGTAAAAGTAGATATGCTGTAGAGTAAATGCAGTGTTGTTCCACCCTTATTTCCAGCTTTCCTAACATGGAAACAGCAGGTTTTACTCCTGATGCCTTTACTGTCTTAGCCAAGCAGTTTTTCCATACTTTTGATTTGAATTGGAATTTCCATATGTTAAAATAAGAACCTGTGGTTTCAAAGTGAAAATAGAAACAGTACATTAATGTTTTAGCTGCCAAACTACCTCTAGACACAGACTGGGAGATTTGTAGGAAAGGTGTCCACAATCAAGCCTCAAAATGAATGCTATTATTTAGATTTTTATCATTTTTTAATGATAAAACTGTATACACAACATGCCTTCAGTGCTGATATATCTTAACAGAAAGGAAGGAAAAGCAAGAACAAGACTCTGTCACAGCCTGCACCTTGATTAGAAATGAGGCAACTGGGCATCTAAAGAAGAGTAGACAAATAGAATCTAGAAGTGCAAAAATGCTTAAAATTTAGCTATTTTTCAACTTGAGCCACAGATGCTGAGCTCCTCAGACCCCCTGTTGTTTAGTTTATTTACCTTCTAAAGCCAAATCACTACCACACAGCCTGCCAGGATGTAAACAAGAACTAAACACTTTCAGCCAGCTACACAGCTCCCAAAACCATCCCAGTGGGTTTGTACCAGGCCTGGACACAACGGAAGGACAAACAGCTCCCCCACACCCCATCACAACAGTCCTGCAGCAATAAGATCTGGAGTTCAGTCTTTTTGCATGAAAATTTTCACTTTTGACTGAGATTAATCAAAAAATCATCTGCATTATTTACATATTTTATCAATAAATCAGTGGAGGCTTCCAACATCTGAGGTGGTTGAATTCAAAACAGAAAAGCAACACCTTCACAGTCTGGTGCTCTCAGCATGCACATGGGAGCCCCTTGCCTAAATATCTTGTCTCCCTCCCTGCACAGTGAACAGAACATGAACACTGAGATGTGGTCAGGAGCAGTCAAGTGGTCAGGAGTGGTCAGGAGACCTCACAGAAGCTCCAGAAGAGCACTATGGATGGAAACCATGCTATGGCCACAGCTGTGTAATTAGCAGTAGCCCCACCACTTCTCAGTGGTTAAAGGGCAAAAGAGCAGAACAAAAGGAGATTCATTTTATGAGATAACAAAATTTAAAGCAAAAAGTGTTGGAAGGTACAGCCTGCCCTTAGTCCACCTCACTTACCAATGAGGGCAAAGACAGCTTTGATGATGCCCTCAACAAACTCCAGGCGCTGGAATCCTGCCCTGGAGCCAAGGTAGCAAGCGTTCTTGTTTTTTCGACAGGCATACTTCAGTGGATACTTCACTGACCACCACAAGCCAAAAAGAAGGAAAAAGCTTCCAGGGAGGGCATGCCCTTTGAAATTGCCCATGGTTTTCTGCTAGGCAATACCTGAGGAAGAAACAAACAGAGACCGATTATGGGAATAGTGGGAGAATTCTGTGGGCTATAATTTTAAAGTATCTCCTTGCATAGATCAAATGGGTGTCATTGAATTGAGTACTCACAGTTAATTTAAAAACAAATTTGGGTACTTTACCCCCCAGCCAGTCTCCCCAGTTTCATAGCTTTGCAGAAGCAGCAGAGCAGCTGACCTGAAATGCAGAGCTGGCAGTCAGCAGGGCAGGAGCAGGAAAAGACATGGCACACTACGTCTTGCTGTAGAAGTTGAGCTAGAGAAAGAGAGAATCTGAATACTCACTATTTGGTTCTTTCACCTTCAGAGAGAGTGTTATATTTTTTTTCCTTCACAAGAGGAAACCAAGACAATACCTGACTGAAGGAAAAATGAATTGCATACCCATCAAATGGGTAAATATTCACTAGTAAATTGTATTTTTTTAATTTCAATCCAGATGTCTTGTTATGATTTACAAACATGAAGTAATTCTCATTATTTATGGGTGAATTATGCATCCACCACTAGATATATATTATCAAGTACATCAAGTGCACTGTGTGACAAGGTTATTACTTGGTCAGGATTATGTAGTCATTTAAAAGCAGTGCCATTCATAATCCTAGTAATTCTGGTCATCATCCCAAAATATGGGATAGTTGCCTTTGAGCCAGTGGCTTCTTCATTAAAATGATGGTTCTAATATTAAATTGCAATTTTTCTTTAAGATATAGAAATTGAGTTATTGTGCCTCATGCCCCAAAGGCATACTGAGTCTCTGCACAGGCAGCAATCAAGAATAACCACTTTAGAAGGATTGGCAGTCTGTACTTTCTGTTATTATTGTTGCTGACTTAAAAGTTCAATTGCCACACTGCACTGGAGCTATATGGCTATGAATGGCACACGGAAGCTCTAGTATATTTTTCTTTTTCATGAGTATTTCCTATGGCCAGCTCTGCATAAGAAGTTTTAAACTGCAGCTTCTGGGCCATGGAGTACTTGCAGGGTTCATATAAGGCTGTCTAGTCACGTAGTGTCAGCCCTCTCCTATTTCTGGAGGCTAAACTCGACTGAAATTTTACCTTTTTTTTTTTTTTGGGAAGAGAAACTTTTCCACATGCACAGGTCCTGGAGTTCTCCTAAGACTATCCCAACTGCATGAGGAGAAGTGGCCTCTATAGCCACAAAGGAAAATAAAAGAAAATACAACTGTTCATGCATAGCATGAGTCTGGTCTGATTTAAACAGGATGCAGTCCTGCAGCCCCTGCCTGTCCCCTCTTCTTCCAGAGCTGAACTCTCCCACTGCAAGGGCTGCTGAGTGGGAGAGGTGAGCTTTAAAAGCTTTCCCTGGATAATACCCTGGTTACCTAGTTTCTAGGGAAGCACTGGGGAAGCACAAGCGCAGAGAAAAGTGATGCTGGTTACCCAAGCAAGCCCATTGCTGGATGTGTCCCTGCAGGTGTTGCAGGGTCTGGTGTCTGCATGTGGAAGCTGGGAAGGAGAGCGTGTGGAGATGCTCAGGGAAGCAGCACTGCCAGTCATGGGGCAGCCAAAGGGGGCACGTGTTTATGAACAAAACCTAAAGCACTCCCACTTGGGATTTCTGCTGTGTGGGAAAGCCTCCTGCAGCTGAGGGTCCAAGAGCTGGAAGAGCCTTTCTCTGCATTCTCTGCCTCCCCCACTACCCTTAAAGTTCTGCTGGGTTGATGCCTGTGTGTTTTATTTGCAGGTGGGGAAAGCACTGATTGCTCTGCAGCAGCCCACAGCACAGTGGGGCTCTCAGTGGTGAGGTCTGGGGAGCTCAGCCCCATAGGTGGGACCCAGCCCTTGCTATCTCAGCCAAGAAGTTCTTTCTTCGTTTTGGGACACCAGTACTCACTGCACCACTGTTTGCCTCAGTAAGGGGCAGTACTAACAGCTGTAGACAGTCCTCTAAACTTTGCTTTAACCTTTAAAATACTTCTTTTGCTTTTCAAACCTTAATTTCTGAGGTTTTTTAAACATGCTGGCCTGGAAGGCACTGCTGTCTTTTTGGTCACATTGGTCTTTTCCCTTCTTTGACTGAAAGGAAGAGGGGAGAAGAGGGGAGGAGAGGGGAGTGGCTTTTCCTCACCACATCTTATCTCACTGAACATGGTTCATTGGAAAGACTTTATTCATTATCATTATTATTCACCACAGGTACAAAGCAGTTCAAAAGGAACCATTTACCCTGTACTGCACATCAAAGCAAAACAATGGATTAGAAAGATAAAGGAAACCTCTGAGTAACTTTCCCTTAGGAGAATACAGCTACAGTAGCAGTGAAATGAAGAATTGTGTTGACAACATTTGTAGTAAAACTTCAAAAGTAATTCTCAATCTGTAAATTTACACCTGGGTTACCTAGCTTTTTAAACACTGGAGGATTTTTTCTGCACTAAATCTGGGCAAACTATCAAGAAACTTTGTTTTGAACTATTTTTTCCCTTTCAAAATAAGCAAAAAAGAACAAAAGACTGATACAGCAGCTGATGTTCCACATCCAACGTAAACAAAACAGAACCAGAAAAATTACTTTTTTGCTAAAAGAAGTACAATCACATATTATTAGCTTTAGAGAGTGTAAACTTCAGACTGAGTTCATCCAAAGGTGTTAGGGATTATTTGTAGGATTTCTCTAGAAAGACACATCAGTTCTGCTGGCCAGCTGTTGTGGCAAACCTTTGGAATGCTGCATCTCAACACAGCTGGTTTCAGAAAGGAGTTATACAACTTACCCTTTAAAGTTCTAGTGAACTTAAAAACATCATGACAGAGCTTGCCTTAAACTGATTAAACTTCCCAATTCATGAGCTTTCTTTTTCAGGCCTGAGAGCTCCTTTTGGTGAGTCTAGAAGTCACCTGCCAACACCCACTGTTTTGATGTGACTGAGAAGTTTTGTCTGCAAATAAACTGGGGGATAGTGCACAGTTTAGGGGCTCAGTATGAAACTGAGGATATGGTGAGGCTAAGCACAGACTCCTCAGTAGGAAAGTGACTGTGGGGTCAGGAGATGCATCTGGGAGGTGGAAGGCAGAGGTGTAATGGGAGGTGAAAGGAGAGGAGAGCAATATGTCAGGCTGCTGCCTTTCCATGAGGCACTTTGGCATTCCCCTGTGCAGCCTGGGACAAAACATCTGTCAGCTCTTCTGCACAGCTTGAGAGCCAGACAGTTTTGGTACAGCAGGTGCTATTTACTGGATAAAGATGGCATCAGCATGTTATGATGATACTTGATAAATTTGAGGGCTTCTTTTTACAGAGCCTTATCAGTCTTTATCTGCAATGTCAGACTGATGTCGCAGAATGTGCAAATCCAAGACTGTTTCTTTTACCCTCAGTGATTTCAGGGCCAAGTCTCTTGTCAGAGCCACAGTCATGTTCTCAGCAGCAAACATTCCTTGCTACCCACAACCCTCCCTAGAGTTCATCATCTTAGATTGGATATCAGGAGAAATTTCTTCACTGAAAGAACTGTCAAGCCACTGCCCAGGGAAGTGGTGGGATCATCATTCCTGGAGATATTAAAAAGGTATGGAGATGTGGCTCCTGGGACGTTGGCAGTGCTGTGTTAATGGTTGGACTGAATAATCTGAAAGGTCTTTTCCTACCTAAACAATTCTGTGATTCTGTGGTCTGCCAGAGCTGTAAGCAGAGTTGACCCATAGACGGGGGCCATGAGGCCTGGCCCCAAAGCCACCCGGTCCCACCAGGTGCCACACACATTCCTTTAGCTGGTGACATGCTTGACAACTTCAATTCTGTCCAAATCCTTCTCCTAACTCTGCCAGGAAAAGGCAGTGGTTCTGCCTTTTCCTACAAAAGGCACACAGCCATCAAAAGGCTCACAGCTGGCATCACAGAATCACACAGAATCACCGAATCACTAGGTGGGAAGAGACCTTCATGATCATCGAGTCCCACCCAGCCCTAACACCTCAACTAAACCATGACACCAAGTGCCACATCCAAACTTTTTTCAAACACATCCAGGGATGGTGACTCCACCACCTCCATGAGGAAGCCATTCCAGAACTTTATCACTCTTTCTGTAAAAGCTTGTTCCTAATATCCAGAACTTTATCACTCTTTCTGTAAAAGCTTGTTCCTAATATCCAGCCTATTATCAACCCTTGGCGCAGTTTAGCCTACCTGAGCTATCCTGGCCACGGCAGCCCACAGGGCATAGCCCAGCTGGAAACTGCCGCGATAGAGAGCAGCTTTGCAAGCTCATCTGCCAGCTCCTTCATCACCCTGGCATGGATCCCATCTGGGCCCACAGATTTATGAATATCGAAGAGGCTCAGCAGTTCTCTGACTGCCTCCTCTTGAATAATGGCAGGACCATTCGGCTCCCTGATATCATCGAGCAACCCAGGAGGACAGTTGTCCTGAAGGCAAGTCTTCTCACTAAAAACTAAGACGAAGAAAGCCTTAAGCACCTCTGCCTTCTTCTCATCTGCAGTTACCAAGTTCCCTCCTGCATCCAGTAGAGAACAGAGGTTGGTCTTACCTTTCCTCTTGCTGTTAATGTATTTGTAAAAATATTTTTTATTATTCATAACAAAAGTTGCCAAATTAAGTTTGAACTGAGCTTTGGCTTCCCTAATGTTTTCCTACGTGCCCTGGCAACCCCCTTAAAAACTTCCTGAGAGATCCTTCTACCAAAGATGATGCATCCTCTTTTTATTCCTAAGTTCCTCCAAATCCTACTTGCCCATCCAGGATGGACATTTGCCTCATTGACTCGTCTTTTGGCACACAGGGACAGTCTGTTCCTGTGCCCTCAAGACTTCTGTTTTGATGAACGCCCACCTTTCCTGAACTCCTTTGTTTTTAAGGGCTGCTTCCCAAGGAACTCTCTGAATAATTCTCCTAAACAGGCCAAAGTCTGCCCTCCAAAAGTCCAATGTAAAAGTCTTATTGATGTTCCTCCTGATTTCACCGAATATTGAGAACTCTATAA